ACATCTTTACTTACTGTGCAGGGTCATAGTAAAATCATGCATATATTTTTATGTAATTTAGGGGATTTTCAAAGCAAATTTTCACTCTACCTAATTTTCATTTTACTCATTGACTTTAGAACATAACCCTCTTCAGATGATATACCTCCACTTTTCCTCCTTCATAGAGTTTCTTTGCAATTAAGTGAGAATTAAATTGGGAGAACATGGAGGTGCCAAGTACAGAGCATCTGCTTATAGTCAGGTGCATAAAAAATTAAGTAGACAAGTCCTCCAATAAATACTTGCCTGGTTAACCCAGAGTGTTCCTAAAATATGTAATTATTATCTCTGCCTTACCCTTTTCACTTGTTGCTTTAACTGAATAACTTCAAACACACACACCATAGACTGACTGTGTGGCACTAAAATATCATTTTTCATTAGTGTTAAATATTCTTTCAAACTTAGTTTGAGATTAAGCCACCTTCTGTAACCTTGCTTCTCTATGAAAATGCATTTATGTTAGTATTTGTATTACAGGGAACTCATACTCACTGCTCAGCCAAGGTGTAGTTACCTCTAGGTTTGAGTGTGGTGGCTCTTACTCTCACAGACAGATACACACACTGGTAATATTTACGAGTCTCAAAATCCAACATTAGACAAAGTTCCCAGTTAATGTCAACATCTAAAGTGAAGAAGAATGATGAGCTAATTTCAGTGTTATTGCCACCCAAGAAATCATTATTTATCTTGAAGGAAAAAAAAAACAACTCAGAAAAATCTTTCCAAAAGGATTTTCAAATATAGAATTGAAAAGACACAAAAGGCCCCTGACTCAACAACTCTGATTCTGTCATCATTCTCAGTCTCACGCTCTTACTTTCAAGTTTATTGATTACTCTATAGTAATTCCTCCAGAGTCCTGGTGTGGCGCCGTGAGTTAATACTCTGGACTGCAAGGTCTGTGTGAACTGCAAAGTCAGTGGTTCAAGCTCACCAGCTGCTCCTCGGAAACCCTATACAGGGTTGCTATGGGTCAGAACTGTTTCGACAGCACTTGACAACAATTCCTCCACTTACTCATATATTGTGAAAATGGGTCAAGTCCTTTGTGAAAGCTGCTATTGTTGCTGCTAATATTATTTATTGGAAAAAATTTGTGTCTCAAAATTTAAGTATCCACCTGCTATAGTGAAGATCTAAACAGTGGTAGTTCTGCTAGTGTTGTAGAGGAGATTGGCCTGAAAAACTTCTCAGGGAGTTAGTAAGCAGAACGCAAGGTGGGGAAGCCCAGTTGTCCTTTTCTGCCTTGGTCTGGACTTCACTATCCTGATAGATGTGGGTTCTCCAGCAACTCTCATCTATAAGGAAGTTCCCAAGTTCATTCTAAAGTCAAATATAAATTACTTCTCTCAGCCATTTTTCCTAATCCCTCAATGAAAAGTAGCGGGGGGAAAGGACAGGATACCGATAACAACACCTGATATTTGAAGGGGATGGACTTTCACTTAGAAGTGAAATATAAAAAAGAACTTTATGATAAAACTCTTCTTTTAATAAAAGGGGCTGCCACATGGAATTGAAAAGTGCAAAAGAACAGGTTGAACTTAAGTCTCTTTCACATTACAGTTGCCCTTATTTTCTAAGGAAAGGTCAGCATAGATTTCTGGATGCAAAGGTAACACAAGATTTTGGGTTACAGAGTTCCAAGAATGTGGGACTTGGTTGCCCAGAGCAGAGGCCATGTCATCAGATCAAAACTCATTTCATCAACCTAAGAGCAGTGGATCACGCTGTGTCATTGCTAGAGGAAACCCAAAAGAGACTTTCATTTCATGGATAAGAAAAATATCTAGTATTTAAATGCATCCTAAATCAGATAACTTTTGTGTTCAAAGGAATTCCAAAATTAATAAGCAATGCTGGTGATAAGGGTTTAAGAAACATTTAAGGGATGAAAAAAAGTTTAGGAAACAATTTTTTCTGGCTTAATTTTCTATTGAAAAAGGGAAATTGAGGAGTGCTAATGTACGTAAGGTGGAGGGTCAAAGAAAAAGAGGAAGACACCCAAAGAGATGGATTCACCAAGTGGCAGCATCAACGGACTCAAGCATGGCAACAATAGTAAGGTTGGCCCAGGATCGGGCAGTGTTTCGTCCTGCTGTGCATAGGGTTGCTATGAGTCAGTACCGAGTTGATGCACCTAACAACAACAACAACAATACTTGATTTTAATAATGGAATGTTGAAGCTGGGGATAGTTTGGTTAGAGAAACACAAAAAGATAATAGACTCCTCATCCTAAAGTCAGATTCACCAGGATCTCCTTAATTTGAAGTAAGTTGGGGTTGAATCTCCCAAGTCAGCTTGTTTTAGGCCTTGTTATTCACATCTGCATGGGAGAAATGAGTTTTTCCACCCACTCCTGCAAAGATGTAAAGCCACAGAAACCCATGAAAGACTCTTAGACCCCTTTGTAGCGTTATTTAGTATTTTTATCATTATTGAATGAATGAAGTGGATGAAACCTTACCATCATCCTTCCTCCTTAAATATAGAGATGAATTGGTATAAACAGTCCCCAGAATCAGAGTATGAGGACTAACCCCCATATCCTCCCCAACTATCCTCCAGTCCTCTGACTGCCTATGAAATTATCATTTGCA